GCTTATTTAATTGGTTAACTTCTTCTTTGCTCAGTTTGGGTAACTTGTATTTCTCTAAAAATGCATCCATTTCCGCCAGATTTTCTTCCTTTAGAGAGTATAGCTTTTGAAAGTAGTCTGTTAGAATTGTTTGGATATCTTGGGTACGTGTTGTGATGTTTCCCGTGGCATCCCTAATCCTATTAATATGGGTTTCCTCTCTTCTTTTTTTAATTAATCTTGCCAACGGGCCATCAATTTTGTTTATTTTTTCAAAGAACCAGCTTTTTGTTTGGTTTATTTTGGTTATGGTTTTCTGATTTTCTAATTGGTTAATCTCTGCTCTCAATTTGGTTATCTGGCTTCGTCTAGTAGCTTTAGGTCCCATTTTTTCTTGTTTTTCTAGCTGTTTTAGTTGCAACATGAGATTATTTACTTGGTCTGTCTCCATTCTCTTGATGTGGGCACTGAGGGCAATAAATTTGCCCCTCAGGACTGCTTTTGCTGTGTCCCACAAGTTTCTTTGTGAGGTGTTTTCATTTTCATTGAGTTCTAGGAAATGCTTTATTTCTTCTCTGATCTCTTCTGTTACCCAGGCCTTGTTAAGGAGTGTGCTGTTCAATTTCCATGTATTAGAGAAATTTCTGCGGTATGCTTTGTTATTGAGAGCTAGCTTGATTCCACTGTGGTCAGATAGGATACAGGGGATTATGTCGATCCCTTTGTATTTGCTTAAGTTCCTTGAATGAACTATGATATGGTCTATTTTGGAGAAAGTTCCATGAGCTGCTGAGAAGAATGTGTACTGTGTTGTTTTAGGGTGAAATACTCGGTAGATGTCAGTTAATTCCGCTTGAAGTATGGCCTCACTTAATTCGGTAGCTTCTTTGCCAATCCTCTGGTTGGTAGACCTGTCCTTTGGTGAGAGTGGCGTGTTAAAGTCTCCTAGTATTATCGTATTGGGATCTATTTTATTCTGTAAGTTTGAGAGCATTTGTTTAACATATCTGGGTGCACCGATATTTGGGGCATATAAGTTGATGATGGTTATATCCTCCTCTTGGATTGTTCCCTTTATTAATATGTAGTGTCCGTCCTTGTCTTTCTGTACTGATTTTAATGAAAAGTTTATTTTGTCAGATATCAGGATAGCTACACCTGCTTTCTTATTGGGGGAATTTGATTGGTAGATCCTTTTCCACCCCTTCACTCTGAGTTTGTTTGTATGTTTGGCTGAGAGGTGGGTCTCCTGAAGGCAACAGATGGATGGGTCTTGTTTTCTGATCCAGTCCTCAGTTCGTTTTCTTTTAATTGGCGAATTCAGCCCATTTATATTAAGAGAAAGTATAGAGAGATGCATTGTTGTCCCTGCCATTCCGTTTTCCTAAGTTTTTCTTCTTTCCTTTCCTCCTGTGCTTGCTCAGTTAGACTTTGAGTAATGCCTGTTTGGGGCAGGTCCCAGTTCCTGGTTGCTTTCTTCAGGTTGTGTCCCCCCTCTTAGAATTCTTTGTAATGCTGGCTTAATGTTTATGTATTCATTTAGTTTTTCTTTGCTATTAAAAGTTTTCAGTTCTCCATCGAATGTGAATGCTAGCTTTGCCGGGTATATCAGTCTGGGTTGGCAGTTATTGGCTCTCAGGGCTCGTATGGTGCTTTCCCAGGCTTTTCTTGCATTCATTGTTTGTGTGGAGAGATCTGCAGTGATTCTAATTTTTTTCCCGTTGTAGTATAGCTCCTTCTTCATTTTTGCTGCATGCAGGATTGTTTCCTTATTATTCAGATCCATCATTGTTACTATTATGTGCCTAGAAGTGTTTCTCCTGGGATCTTGCTTGTTGGGTGTTCGATAAGCTTTTGTGATGTAGTTAAGATGGTCGTTTTTGAGGTGGGGAAAATTTTCATTGACTATCTTGTTAAATAGGTGTTGCATTCCCTTGCTCTGGAATTCCTCACCTTCGTCCACTCCGATTATGCGAAGGTTAAATTTTTTAGCATTATCTGCTTGCTCTTGAATTTCCCTTTGGTTTAATTTGAGTGATTTTTCCATATCTGTCACTTTTTGGTCCAGTTGGTGTATTCTGTCTTCTGTATCTGACACTCTACCTTCCATTTCATTCACTCTGTTGACCGTGGCTTCTATTGTGGTTTGCATGGTGGAAATGGATCCCTTTATGGATTCAATGTTGGTTCTCAGAGTACTGATCTCACCTCTCAATGAGGTGATATCAGTATGCATTACCTCTAATTTGGCGTTTATCTCACTTCTTACTGAGGTTTGTGCAGCTTCTATTTTTGCATCCAATTTTTGTTTGATATCCTGTATATCTTTTGATAGTTCATCCTTGTGCTCTTTCAATTTCTGATCCATTTCTCGCTTTATTTCTTGAGTCATTGCCTCCAGCAACCCTTGGATGTAGTTTTTGTCTTCCATTCCTGCTTTGCTCCCACTGGGGCTCTCCCCTGCGTGGCTGCTGGCTTTTGAGGTGAGCTTGCTGTCCTGGGTAGTGGTAAACCTTGTGATTTTTCTCTGTGATTTTCGCATGGGGGTTCAGGAGACTGCTCTTCAATCTTGTTTTGGTGTGTCTGTCTTTGCTTGGTTGCTGATTCTCTATTGGTAGAGAGAGTCTGTGCCTGATCTGGATTCTGTTGGGAGCCTATTTCCAGCTGCTATTCACTTAGGATTCTCAGCTCTCTGCTGTAGCAATTCCCGCCTTTGGAAGGGTTGAGCAGCCTAGACTGCTTGTGTTTGCTCCTGCGGGTGCTCTTGGGAAGATCAGATGCTCTGGATGCACTCTCCCAAATACTGGAGTCTGCTATGGGCTCCTGATGTGTTTTTGTTTGTTTGTTTTGGGCTGGTTGTGGGCTTGAACTCTAGGTTTGGGTGCTGTCCCTCAGCTCTTCAGCTCAGGGCTGGCACCCTACCATTTGAGCCACAGCCCCACTTCTGACCCTTTTTGCTTTGTTCAGGCGTCGGTCCCCTGGCCTGGTTCCGGCCCCAGCCTGGAGCGCGCTTGTTAGGCCTGTGCTAATGTGTATACCACCTTGGTTATGCAGCCTGGAGGACACAGTTCAAATTTCTTCTACTGTTGGTAGTCTTGACCCAGGGGCACTGTTCCTGGCTTGAGCATTTAAGCTCCCTTCCCGGGGCGCTCTTGCTCTGGCCTGGCCAGCAGAGTGTGCTCCACCGGCTGGTGGGGCTCTCGAACAGTTCCCAGTTTTAGTGGGTCCTGTGGTCCGGGTGTTGGGGTAGGGAGTCTAGGTCAGGGTCTGGGGATTCCCTCCAGCTCTGGTCTCCCTTGATGGATTCCCTGTCCCCTGATGGGTACTCACCCTGTAGGTCGTCAGTTGTTGTTGCAGTCCGTCAGTTGTTGTTGCAGTCCGAGTTCAGTTGGGGTGGTTGCGGGCTGGGTTGGGCGGCCCCCCGCCGGGTCGTTGCGATCGCGATTGGGCGGGTGGTCTGCGGACAGGTCCCTTTGTGGCGCTGCTGGTGCCGGGCGGCTTTGGCGGGATGGAGCCTCTCCGCTCCGGTGGAGAGTGATGGGTGGGGTGGGATCCTCCTGGAGACTCCCGGCTGGTAGGTTTCTCTGTTTCTGGCGATCCGCCGTTCTGCAATCCGGTACCTGGTGATCTGCAAGCAGCCCCCTGTGTCTCTGTGGCTCCGGCAGCCCCTGCCGCGCCGGCTGGCCGGCGGCTTGGCGCACTGCCGCGCGGCCAGTAAAGGTTGGGGGAGGGGTCTTCGCTCTTCTCTGTTCTGAAATTCTTCTTTTCCTCTCTTTCTTTTTTTGTTATTTTCCACCTCTGGTTTTTCTCTGAGTGTTCGTCTTTTTGTTGTTGTCGGTCTCTTGGGGAGATTAAAGGTTGGAACTCGAACTCTCTTTTTGGTTGGAGAGAGCTGTGGCGTTTCCCTACTGCCCCGTCGCCATCTTGAGAACTCCCCCCGCAAATTACTTTTTGCAGTAATCACTTCTGCCCTCTGTTTAATAACCTAGCACAGATCATTTTGTCAGGAAATCATTCCAGTGTCTATGCTCAACGTAGTTTGCATAGGATCCCTTACTTAAACCCTAGTGGAACTTTGAATGTTAATTATAGGAAATATGATAAGTTTTATGTGTGAGAAAGCTGAGATTTAGAGATTAAAGGACATCCCAAGGTCATATTGGATGTGTGGCTGGAAATCCAGAGTTGAAAACCCAGGTTCTAAACTATTAGCCAGGAGTCAGTAAGGAACACATTTCCGGGCTCCCCATAACTGATGAAAGGGGACTGGGTTTTATAATTAATCTTTCCTACATTTTTACTTAAATCTTCAAAAGCTCTTATGTAGAATAAACATTTCATTCATGGCTTTAGAGTCTAATGTCTCAAGGGTGTATGTTCTTCCATTGATACAGCAAAATAGGGTAAAAATGTAAGACAAATGCTATCATATGGGATAGGTTGAGTCAATTGCAAATAATCCTAAAGGCCATTTTGTTCCCAACATTTCGCAGGCAAATGTACCCTACCAAAAATAGTCTTTTTGATGGCTCTTCTGTATAGCATCAATTACTTCGAATATCATCAAAAGAATTACACATGTTGAAATTAACCAACAGCAAATGGTGTCCTGGGAAATGTGCACTAATCAACTCCAGGAAACAGAAGCCCTGATCTCCAGTGTTTGCCTTCCCATGGTGTTAATACTTCACCCTGGCTGATTTTTAACTACTTATGAGACATGGGGAAGCATAGAATTAGAAAAGGATAAATAGAATCAGTATGTTTGCACACAATTCCACTGAAAGTAAATGGTTTCTTTTTATGTAATTTGGTTATAAACATATGATAAAAGTTATTGAAGTAATTCAGGAAAGCAGAACAGCAGAACTAGTAAATGTTACTATAATTATTTAAGTCCTTATTTTCCTTAAAGCAAATACTTCCCATATAAATCACTGTTGCTGAACTTGGAGCAAATCACCTTAGAATGGGAAAGCAAGGTTGATGGTATCGGCATAGCACAAAGAAATATGTCTTACCTAAAGATGTTCTGGCTGGCACTGCATCCTTATTGATCCAGAAAGACACCCAGGACAGGACAACAATGAGCGTACAGGGGATATAGGTCTGGATGGTGAAGTAGCCCATTCTTCTGCTTAGGTCAAAGTAGACACACATGACCACGTAGTCTCCTGGAAGAGAACAGAGATGGCACCGTGCCAGCCCTCATCAGAAACTGGAGAGCGTTTGAAAACAAACATGTTTTAACTCCCATGAATAGCCACCTTTAACTAGAGTTACATGAGACTACGCTCAAAACTTCCTACTTTCTACGTTCATTCAAAACAGAAAGAAATGCAAAACCAACCTCCCCCCAACCATTCCTCTTTGATCATGTTGATCCTATGTTCATTTGTCAGACAAATCTCGGCCTTGTTCAATCTTCATACTTAACACGCAGCAGGTGCATTTGCTGTTTGACGGTCAAGAGGAAGCGCGGTGTTTCTATTCTGTGCCTATCTCCCCTGCAACGGCTCTCGTTTCAGAAAGAAAATGTTTGAATTTTAAAACAGGAGGACAAGTACTTCTGAAGGTTTTTATTTTTTTAAAAACCCCATTACGTGGAGGGCAAATATGGGGCTCAATCGTGGCATTTCAGAAATTAGATTGATCTGCTCATTCACCCTCACTTCAAACATAGTAGACCCAAGCGATGAGGGAGAAGTAACAACATTTTTATTGAAGATAACCTCTCTTAATGCCCATCCTTTACTTGCTCATTTTCTTGATCAGAATACCAGAGACAAATGCTGTCGTTTATTCACATAGGAAAAAAAGAAAAAAGGATTTCTTTGGAAATGAAAATATTCAGAAGTCGTTTTCCTCCTTTCTTTCTAAATACTTGGATTTTCTCTACATCCTGAAAGTATTTAAATTGAAATATACAAACTATAAAATTTCAAATAAAGCCTCCCAGTTTTGAGAACTTCCCTCTTATCATATAAGTGAGTGACAGTCCGTACTTTTGAATGACTGATCTGAGTCTTTAAAGGTGAACCTTAATTTGGGCCAACAGTAAGGAGATAATCATCTCAATTCAATTCTCCATTTCCCTTTAGGTCAGGGTCTGGACTTCCATAGTCTGCTTATTATCAGTTTCTATTATAAGGTAATAGCTTCGGAGCATCTTGCATCTCTGCCTGCAAATCTAAAGCTTTTCTGCCTGTGGATTACAGATTCAAACTTGGGAACAAGCCGTTTAAAAGCAAAGCGGCTTCACTGACAGCTGAATGTCTGCCTTATCGCCCAGGCCAAGTCACTTTTTGTATGCTTAAAAACTCTTGGACTGAGAAGCCTATAAAATGAAATCCCCATAAAGTACTGCATCAGTGATTCTCCAAGCCCAAAAGGCTTAAGTGCCAACCACGTCCACGGTGGTTATTTCAGCCACTTCAAATTCATTCTTCTTGATTTATCCTAACATACGCGTTTTAAAGTCATAGCACTTCATCAATTAGTTTTGTACTGCTTATACTTGGCATGTAGAGGTACACCAAAGGAAATACAACAAAACATAAAGAAAAAAGCTGTAGGTTTACTGTGTAAAACTGTGAAAATCTATCTGAAAAATAAGATAAAAGAACTGGAAATGTGGCTCAAGTGGTACAGTGCCTCTCTCACAAGTCCAAAAATACAAATTTTTAAAGAGTATTCTAACTAGTTTTGTAAAAGGCAGAATAAGATCTTATAGTAAGATAGTAGTAAAGTAGTAACAGAGAGTATATAGTTGGTATGTATTTGGATTGTACCCTGGATTATAAGTAATCTGTGGTTTGTGGGAGAGATATAGCTGCACCCATTTCATTTGCTGTGTGTGTGTGTGTGTGTGTGTGTGTGTGTGTGTGTGTGTGTGTGTGTGTGTGTGTGTGTGTGTGTGTGTGTGTGTGTGTGTGTGTGTGTGTGTGTGTGTGTGTTGGTCCTCAGGCTTGAACTCAGGTCCTCGAGGTCTTCCTAAGCATTTTTGCTCAAAGCTGATCCTCTATCACTTGAGCTACACCTCCACTTCTGGCATTTTGTGAAGATGAGTCTCTTTGATTTGTTTTCTGGGTCTGGCTTCAATCTCTGATTTTCATATCTCAGTCTCCTGAGTAGCTAGGATTGCAGACATGAGCCACGGGCATGAGGTTTTATTTTTTATTTTATTCATAGCATTCAGCAATTGGGTATTACATAGAATGTACTCAAAAATTACTTGTTAAATGAATACATGGTTTATAGTTCAGAATGTCAACAAGACAAGCCTGGATAAACTATGCACCAAAAAATCTTCAAGGCCAAGAAAGAGATCACAATGATCTCTTAAAACATTAAAACTTTTACTTGAAAAATTAATGCATTTGGAGGTAGTTTCTCTAGATTTTTCTTGCTGAACTGAATCCCCTGAGTTGTGGATATAAGGTCACTAACGTGTGTTGTTAGCAATATTAGCTTTTGGCCAAGAAGAAAAGAAGGAAGGGGAATCAGCCACGCGGCCCTGCACTTGGCTGAGCGAGGCGCATGGGCGATTGGGCTTCTCTGCATGGCCTGATGTGCAGTACGGAGAGGCCAGGCCTGGGCTGTGCGGCCGTCCTCCGGCCTCCTCCTCCCGTCCAGGGGAGTGCTTTCACTCCTCAAAAATCACTGCTGCATATTGTTTGCTGTTCAGTTTCAAATGTCGAAGAAGAAGGACAGAAAGGCAATTGAAGCAGATACAGTGAAAAATAAAAATCGCAACCAACGTAGTTTTTCCAAGTTGAGTCTATCCTTTAGAAGCCTCCATTCCAGTCCTACGAAGACAGGAGTGTGGGGCTATAGAGACAAGGATGTCAGCTATTACAAAGTAGGGTCATCTAAGACAGTTAAACACCATTTTGACCCATCATGAGGTCAGGAAAAATGTCATCGTCTTTGTCCATACCAAGTAAGAACGCCTTAACACCTTCTTTTTTCTTTCTTCCTTTTATTTTTATTTTTTGCCAGTCCTGGGGCTTGAACTCAGGGCCTGGGCACTGTTCCTGAGCTGTTTTTGCTCAAGGCTAGCATTCTACCACTTGAACCACAGTGCCACTTCCGCTTTTTTTCTCTTTATATGGTACTAAGGAATTGAACCCAGAGCTTCATGTATGCTAGGCAAGCACTCTACCACTGAGCATCTTCCCAGCCCAGTTCCATCTCCTTAAAAATGAACAGTGAAAGGGGTAGAGTACCAGCCTTCAGGGGAAAAGACTTCAGAGGGAAAGGCCTATGAAACAAGGGTATTTGACCCACATTCCCTAGAGGTACTTCCAAGATCCCTGCTTCCTCAGAACACAGCCTGTGCATTTTGCACCGTGCAGATGAAGAGGGGGAAAGAGCGAGAAGCAGAGCACCTGTTCAGTGCAGGTATCTGGGGCCCCTAACCTCTAACAAAAACTCTCTGCTTCTGCCTTTAAACCTTATGCAATGCACACACTACCTCAGGAAGTTGGAATACCAGATTGCCTGACTAGAATAACAATAGCAGTGTTTCTCTTAGAGAATAGTGTTAGATGAAAGCAAGCACAGTGCTCAAGGTATTCCAAATTGTGGTGGCTTCTTTTTTTTTTTTAGTTTAATTTTATTTTATTTGTGAACATACTGTACAGAGGGGTTACAATTACATGGGCAGGATAATGCGTACATTTCTTACCAAGCATTGCAGCCTCCTCCTTTGTTTGCCCTTCCCATCCCTTCCCAGCCTCCCCCCTCCCACCCCAATACCAATCCTTCTCCTTCCCCTCCTTCCCCCCGCTTCTTGTAGGTTCACCCAGTGAGGAATTTGCTAACACCAGTTTTCTGTATGACTCTAGTTGACAATTCTCTATTAACTGCCATAACTTTTTTTCTTACTCTCAAAAAAAAAACCCACAAAAACAAAAACCCACCAGCTGGGCACCGGTGGCTCACGCCTGTCATCCTAGCTACTAAGGAAGCTGAGATTTGAGGATCATGGTTCAAAGCCAGCCCAGGCAGGAAAGTCCATGAGACTCTTATCTCTAATTTAACACTAGAAAACCAGAAGTGGCACTGTGACTCAAGTGGCAGAGCGCTTGCCTTGAACTGAAGAGCTCAGGGACAGTGCCCAGGCCCAGAGTTCAAACCCACGACCAACAAAACATAGCAAAACAAACAAAACCCCCCACAAAACCATAGATGCTATAATTGATGACTTTGGGTCCACCATCAGCTATCGAAGCTCAACCAAAAATTCAGTCAGTGAATTCACCTCTGCATGTGTTTAAATAAAATAGCTCTCTGGTTCAGAAATCTGAAACTATAGCTACAAATGAATATATTTGCCTCTGTCATTTATTAAAAGGGAATGCAATTTCCCAGCATAATCAAACACCTGATGAGATATTAAAACAAGTTCCATGTAATGCAGAGCAGCTCCTGGTGGCAAACCTAGACCCAGGTTTTAGGATAGCAATAATGGTAATAAGCAACAGGATAACAAAATACTAGAACTTTGCTAAGTACCTTAAATTTTTCTAGCAAAAATGAAATGCACATCATTTTTAAGACTATAATGAGAAACTCATTTGCTGATGTCAGGAAGGTGATTTGTGATCTCTAAATGACAATATATAGAGGAGGTGCTATGTAGCTCACTGTGGACAGTTGTTTTGCGAAATGACTTCTGTGACATTGATAGTTTTTGTTGAGTGATAAGCATTTTTTAGTCCTCATTAACATACTATCTTTAACTTTTAGGAATAACAGAAAAACATCATATTCTTGTTTATGAATTTCCAGCACCCACCCTAAAAACCTGGGAGATGTGTGCCAGGAAAGTTAGGGTCTTTTGTTTAATCCACATTCTGATGTCCAGACCAATTGCACAGTAACATGGTTTGGTAGTCAAATGTGACAAAATATTCTTTAATGTGAGTCTTTGTTTAGATTATTATGTGGCATTAACAGATCCAATTAACTCTTTGTGAAGCACCATTTCAGGAAAACATTTTAAATAGGAGTTCCTGTTCCGCTATTAGCGGTTCAGAAGAGAGAAACAAATCAGGCGCATGGGTGACAGTTCAGTTGCTTGTATTAATGTGTGATAAAGACGTTAGTCTGTGGTCAAGAACTGGGTGGAGGGCAGTACCAGTGAGGATCTGTGGAGATCTGAGACAGA